TGCACAAGTGTCAAAACACTACCATCTTAGCTACATCCACCGAATACGGAAGCTGAAATGGCAGGAAATGGTCGCAGACACAAAAGTCCAGGCGACGACGGAAATTATCAGCATTCGCACAATGGGCAGGCCAGGTCACTTGCGTTGGAGCATCCACTTAGTACTGATAGACGACGAAAGACTATGCAAGCGGTTGTTCTTAAGAAATGTCTGTGAGGGTGCTGGCGGACAAGAAGGACAAAGGAGGCACTACACGGGCAGTATTAAGAACAACCTGTGGCGTCTTCAAATTAACCTAATCGGGCCGTGTGGTGTACTCACGTAACAGATGCTACAGATGTGGTTAGTGGGGAAGCAGGTGTAGGTGCAGGCTAAAGCCACGCATGATACCTTCGCCCAATCCCGCCTCTACTCTGCCTCATTCCGTCTTAATACCGAATGCAGGTGTGTGATTTAGATACTTCACAATCTTTCTATTACTTTCACGAGTCACCGTCCTTGCGCCAAAATACTGTGCAGCACACAACACACATTGTCTGATAGGACGTTCGGAGGTGCGCGTGTATGTGAGGTAGAGTGAAGTAGAAAGCGGGAAACAGTGAGAAATTGGCTTCGTTTTGAAAGAAACCATTTAAAAAATGACAGATGGAACGATCTGCGCTTATCATGAATAGCAATGTTTGGGGGAAACAACCAGCTAGGAAGGTCATCTATTGACCGCGACTTGTATTTGCCGAGAAAATCGGCAGTCTTAGATGCATCTATTGCAAACCGAGCGCTTAGCAGATCAAGTCAAGTGACAGTGAATGACGCAGGTCAAACGTTTTCCGAAATGTATTTATCCCTCCGGATTGGGCGACGTGTGATCATATAGGGCAGGCTAGCTTTCTTGGTGGAACTTGGATAAAAATGTGGACACTAAGCAAACTTTAAGACGTCAAGCTATCTGCAAGTTGGCCGTAGTTAGTATATGGTTAAAATGCAATTGAATGCGTTAAATCCCATATGCAAGCATTTTGAATGAAGTGGTATTTATCTTGCGTCGGCTTATTGCAATCGCTGGCTCAGGTAGCTGCTGACTGAGGAATTACCATTTTTCTCGTGTATTCCGGCAACTTCCGACTGAAAATTAGCATTGGGTTCTTCTACAAGACTGGCTTACGTGGACTCAGATTTCAACTGTTCCCCGAGACCGCATGCTTCCTTAGAAGGGTAGTGGTTTTACCAGTCATTGTTATATCACTTAGCACTTAACCTCGACTACGGACATTACATCCTTACACTGGAACCTTTTTTATACAAAACGCTTACCGGTAATAGCTTGACATACACGGGTTTTTCTCCGGTATTTGAGTTTCCCATTTGCTGAAAAAACCCCTCGTTCAATCCACTGGCCAACTACCGAGTACAGATCATACACTGGCCTGAGGGATTGGTCTGGTATAAATGTCTGCTGTCAGTACTACAAACTCCGCGTTATAGCAAACAATCGCCGACTGAGGCTGAGATCCCAAATGTAGGAGGAGAAGAAACTAAGTATCTTCCATTCAATGAGAGGTGTTTTGATTGATCGCGGTATTTGAAGCTGAGGGTAATCATATTCGCTATAGGCGCTAGAAATTAGAAATGTAGCGATGCGGTATCATTCGCGAAATCTTACTGTCGGTTATCGTGGAGGCCCCTGCGGCCTGGCAACTGCCATGGTGTGTTTTAGAGGGCCAGAACACTAGTTAGTCAGCCTGTTAGGATTAATTGGCCCGTAAAAGACTGGTGAACGATTTTAGTGAATGCCAATATAATTAAATAAGCGAGTTCCAGGAAGCAGTTCAGAAGAAGAAGCGATCACTGGAACAACAGTTTTATTGTCCTAACGTTTCAGATTCCATCGGAAATCTTTAGTCATAAGTAATCGTAGAAACGTCCAAGACTTGCGAAGATAAAGGTGATACATGCACAGATTGCAAGGTATTTGTAGTCCGTAGCGGTCACCCGTATGCCTACTATAGTTATCAATTCCTGTAGCCACCGCTTGCGGTCTTAACTGGTGCGGTGATGGCTCATTAATTATCAAAGTGTTCTTGTTCGCGTCGGATGCGGGTTTGATAATTGCGCGACAATTATGCCCACTGTCGCCAGAGTTGTTGCTGCGCCCGGCCCTTCCCACGTGACTGATTCTCTTGCTCAGTAAATTTCTCAGTACACCGTATGGCAACGCCAAATTCTTGCGCTTGTTGATTGACTGGGGGCCCGAGAATCATGACTCCAGCAGCTCACGGCTCACGTCGTCGTCACCTCTTACAAGGATGTCGACCTCGTCAAGCATCAAAATATGGCCAGGTCCCGTCGAGTGAGCTGCAACATGTGAGTTGGCGTCTTTCTTCCTCACCACCACTGCATGCTCGGCCACTGGCGTCCATAGTAATCTCCCGGTTTCTCCGACGTATTTGCTTTGTCGACAGTTGCACCAGATCCGGTAATCGATTTCATCCGTTTCCGGTCGTGGCAGAGGGTCTTTCGGCCGCATGACCCAGCGCCTGATGGTTGCTTCTGAACTTTGCGCAAATCCAAATCTAAATGGGGTAAGTAGACGGCTGACCACTTCGGATACATTTTTTCACATGCGGACGGCACGTCAAACGTTTGGACCATTTAGACGTGGCTTCTTCTCTTGTTTGCGTATGCATTGGTTGAAAAAATTGCGCGGGTTATAACTCGCTCTCAGTACCCGTCGAAGATGTTGTAATTCAGCAACTTTGTCTTCCGCTTCGCCGCAATGTGTCTCAAAGCGCCGGAATAGCGCTTTTACGCAGCTGCGTGTGTGAACGATTTGGTGGTTGCTGTTGTATTTCAGGACTTGCATAGTGTTGGTGACTTCCTGAATACTTTAGTTTTTAGGCAGGTTAGACGCGTTTACCCTTTGCTCCTCGAGGTGTCAGTGGTGCTGATGGTTGAGGATGTAGAAGGTTTAGGCGTCTAGTATAATGATTCAATTTTGGCCGTAATGATCGACACTGTGTTAACTGCAGTGGTTTCCAACAGAGTCCTGTTTCCACGGATGACGGAGTGTGACGGTTTTCAAGATCTGCAGTGCGATGTGGTTGCCGCCGGAGTGCTGAAAGCTGGTAGGCCGAGTGGATGGGTAGTCGTTGGAGGACTAGAATTCCTCAAGTGGATGCTGCATTTCGATCATAGGTATCTGATCAAGCAGATGCACTCGACGAGGCTGTGTAGGCAGCGTAGGCAGGATTCAAGGGCTTGAGCACCAGAAGAATCAGCGACTCCTTTTTATACACGGTTCTTCCATCAGTATTGTTTTTCTTATTGATTAACATGCCAGCTGTACTTCAGCGGCAACAGAAGGTTAAGTATTGTAGCTTATATACCCAATAGTCTCAGCATTTTGTTCTGCAAAAACGTTGGTTATGGAGGCTTAATAGAAGGAAAATTAGGATAGGAAGTTGAATGTACTTTTATAACTGCTAAATATATATATTTATTTTATTGTATTCACAAATGCTGTTGATGCATTTATCTATAGATTTTCCTAATCTCTATTATCGTTTAACGTATTGCTGAAAAACCCGACTTTTGAAATGCAGTTGTCTCGAAATTCCTGTATAAATACAAATGGCGGTTTGAAAGTCGACTACTTCAACTTACTTGAGGTCTAACCTATAGTTCTGGAGTAAGATTAGTATAGTCTGCGGTGTGAAGCGCCACTTACATCTTCAATTTATATGCGGAACAACTAACACCCAAAGACCACACGGAAGAAACGTAACTACAGCTTCCACTTTGCACTTATACAAATTTCCTTCACCGCCTATCCTATTTCCTCAAACCTTAAAACCCCTATAACCACGGTTTCCAAAGGAAATATTCTGGGACTAGATGTATTTGAGGTGCACTGCTTAAACTCCTGTTGCCGGAATTTGTTTGCGGACCTTGATTAGTTACACTTTTATTTCTTCTGACGACCCTTTGTAGGAAAACGGTCTACCGCGTCGGCCGACTCTTGTTTTTTATTTGATAAAGCATGGCCTTTCTATAGCGTTTGACGTAAATCCCTGCATGTATGGACTGTCCTTGCAGACGATCATTTGCTTTAACTCCTGAC